TGTTAATAATCTTGCATTCAATTCTTCCTTTAAAGTCTGTTGTACGAAAAACGTGATGTGTCGATCATATAGTAAAAATCAGTAAGTGTGAAATCCTGTCTGACTGTTACCAATGTAATATGATATTCAATTTTTATATTCAAGACCATTTCCACCTCCATCCCCATTTTCACTTTCAACATCAACACCAACATCAACATCAACAACTACTGTTAAAAAGCCACATTATTTTGTTTGTCAATATTTGAAAAATCTTGAAAATGGTTTTGTAGAGTGCACTTTTTGCAAAACTAGGTTTGGAAAAGTCACTGGCATTAGCACAATAAAACGACATTTGAAAAATATCATAAAGATATTTATCAATAATGACTGACACCAAACAACATTTAATTTTCCAATAAGTGATCCATATAAAAAAGAAGATTTAAAATTAAAAAAAATCAATGATAGGTTAATAAAATGTGTAATCTTTGATCAACAACCCTTTGATGTTGTTGAAGACAAATGTTTCATTCATTTGGTATCTGAACTTGATTCACATTATAAGTTACCTTGCTGTCAAACAATTTCAAGTTGGATTGAATCAATTTTTAAGAAACAAAAAATTATTAAAAAAATGTTTAGTGATTTTTCACATAAGGTATCTCTCACAATGGATGCTTGGACTTCGACAACTACAAATCAAGGGTATCTAGGCATTACAGCTCATTGGATTGATGATAGTTAGAGAATGAAAAAAATATTACTTAATTTTGTACCTCTTAATGAAATCACACTGGGATCTATTTAGCAAATAAAATTTAGAAGAGTTTTCACTTGGCAAGAAAGTTTTGGCAATGACTACTGATAATGGGTCAAACATGGTTCGTTTAGTTAAATAATTATTTAATTCAAAAATATGACAATAAGGATTTTATGCATCTCAGATGTGGTGCTTATGTGTTGAACCTTGCAGTTAAAGAGGGAATAAAATTAATTGATCAACCAATTGAAAAATTACGTAAAACTGCTATATAGCAGTATTTGAAATTCACAGCCTATTTTAGAAGAACTTAAAACTATATTTGAAATGAAAAACCAAAATTTTTAATTCCTGATTTGGACATAACAACCAGGTGGAATTCATTATATAACATGATAAAAAAGATGTTAAGGATAAAAGATATGGTTGATATTTTAATAGCTGGGAATATAATAGTGAGTGTTCCATGTTGCAATCCAAAAAAGGAAACCAAAGTGGTTGCAAAGGTGGTTGCAAACCATTTTTATATGTCGCAAATATGGTTGCAACCATCACCAAGAATTGTGACCAGCATCTATAGAATAGAATGCTTCTACAAATTTATCCAAGTGAAGAAGAATGGGATGACATTAAAGTATGTAAAAAGATTTTTTGTATTAGAATTTTTTTGCAATTTTTATACACATTGTATTAGATACTTATTCTGGTAAATTTGTGATTGTTTGTTCATAATATAGAATACATATAATTTATTGGAACCTATTTTTTTTTGCAACTGAACTTTTATCAGGATCTAGTTATCCCACCCTTGGTGACTTATGACTAACATTTTCAACAATTATTAAAGGATTGAATAAGAAAATTGGCATTGATCCACCAACTACACAATCATTAATAGCAACAGCTATTGTTATTAAACTTGATAATTATTGGAAACTACTTGATCAAAATTCTAAAATCAGTTCAATATTACATACAAGCTATTGACTTTTCCTGAGTCTGAAGTAGAAGAGGTCAAAACTGAATTTTTTAAAAAATATAAATCATATTCAGAAAAATATGACTCTTCTTCTGAGACCATCACAATGAATCAAACTTCAAAATGTAGTGATTTCAAAAAACTACTCAATCAAAACCAAAACAATAATCAATCAACTACTACAAACAATGAATTTACATTTATCAGAAGGTACTATCAGAAGAAATTGAATGTTTAGATTGGTATGCATCAAGAATAAAAGATCCTAATTATATAATTATATAACTCTGTCACATATGGCAAAAGATTATTTTCAATACAAGCCACAAGTGTATCAAGTGAGCAAATGTTTAGCATTGCTAAACATACATTAAATCTAATTCAAAATAGAAAAAGCACAAGCAAGTCTATGCTTAAAGAACTGGATTGAAGCAGAAATTGTTTCAATTTAATTTTATTTTATTTTATTTGTTTTTGTATATATATATATATTATAATATAAAATAATTAAAACAAATTTTATAATATTAAATAATAATTAACAGTAATAATAATAATAAATCAACAATTTTCATTTAATTAAATATTTTGTAAAATAATTTTTTTGTTAAGCTAACTTGAAATGTTTATCAATAGTTGAATAAATATATCCATCATAAATTAATTGATATATACAATCCCTGAATATAAAAATATTAACATTAATATATATTAATAAATAATGGATAATAGTCAGAGAAGATAATTAACTGATTGATACCACAGACTCTATTTGTATTAGTAAAAAAAGCTTACTCTATTTGGTTATAGTTATAATTTATATTGATTATTTCTTCTATATTAACACCATTATTTTTATCATTGTTACTAATAATGTGATTATGTATATTTGGTAATTTTTTCCAACATATATTTTTTTGATCTTCAATTTTGCTTTCATTTTTTTGAATGATATTACTTAATCGACAAATCTCCTTGTATTAAAGACTAGTGCCATAATCCAAAAAAGGAAAGAGTATGGTTGCTAAAGTGGTTGCAAAGGTAATTGCAACCACTTTTTATATGCTGTAAATACAATTATTACCATCATCATAATTTACAGCACTAGTCTTTACCTTGTATGGGTGTGGAGGGAGTGTAATAAAATCAGCATATTTTTCAATTTCAATAATCTTCCACCCATCAAAGTTAATGGATATAAAATATTCACTATAAAATCTTTCATCTTCATTAACAACATATCCATAATTTATTAAAAACTTTTTCCAAACATAATTATCATTATCAATTAGATTCCTCCATAATTTATTCTGCAGGTCCAAGTAACCCATGATGAGGAAGATAAGTTCAGTTGGCAGAATAAGTTCTTTGTAAACATTACTTGATAACAATGGTGATAACAATGGTGATGATGTTAAATCATCAACCTCTCTAAATAAAAGAAAAATTGAAGTTTTCAGCTTTGTTATTATTAGAACTATTTAACCACTTGTTATTACTATCCACTATTATTATTATCATTACTTAACTGCTTGTCATTGTTATAATCTTTATTATTATTTTCAAGATCCTTTTTTTAGAGAAAATATATAGAAAAAAATTTTTTTAAACAATAAATAATATTTGTAATATTAATCATTACTGAAATAAATATATACTTTATTTTTTTCAATCACTTCTAAATGTTCTTTTTCATGGCATCTTAAATTTTCCCCAACCAAGCTATAATATAAAGTTGGATTGATTAATATTGTTTTCTTTATGTTTTTTAAAAAACTATAATTGCAACCATTTTTATGTATATAACTAGAGTGATGACTAGTGGTGATAACCACCACCATTCTTATAATAAACACTTATTCAAGAATCTCTTCTTGTTCATCTCCTCTCTTTCTTCTTTTAGTGTCTTTTTTTGGCATTGTAAAAATAAAATGCTTGTTATATTGATTAGATTTGAATTGAAATTGTCTCTATCAATCAAAGGATTTCTAACTTTCATTAGATAATAATAGTAAATGTCATTATAATTATCAAATCTGAAAAGAATTGCATTAAAAAAAAACCACATAAAACAGTTATTATTATTGGTGCTTGGTGTTGTACAAAGATTTTTTTTTGGAGACGTGAATTGATTTTTTTTCTTGGAAAAACGAAAAACAATTTATTTTTTGACAGATGATAAAACACGAGTGTTGTTATTTGGTATGGTTCTGAAGACATATTTATAACTAACAAGAGGTAACTTTTTTTAATTTGCATTGATATGCCTTTTATTTTATATAATGTATATTATTGAAATCAAACTGTGGGTACAGAACCTGTACTTATGAGATTCTTTATGATAAATGATTGATATCATTTTGCTTTTTGTAATCAACATTGATATTATTAATATTAAGATGCCAAGGTGATACAAGGAAGTGAAACATTTCAATATGTGACATTTGATTATTGAAAATTAGCAGATGTCAAGGCACACACACTACTTTAACACAGTCATTCTCACACATTCCTCATGTTTACAAGGCTAATCCGACCAAGACTTCTCTGAGGATACAATGATGCAACTAAATCCCAGGGAGGGGTCACATGGCCCTGGAATGCATCAAAGCTGCATCAATTGTCAATGACACTTGATAATCTTCACTGTACTAGACCAGAGAAAGCTGACATGTATGGAATTTGAACATGAAAAAAGATCAGCAAACTCAACAGTATATAAAAGGAACAAGAAATCTGATAATATTACAAATAAATTGAATTAAATATTATTTGCAAATTCAATTTTATGAAAAATTTAAAAATTGAACTTAAAAGTTAACTTTTTTGATATAATATGAAATTATCAAGTTTCCTTATGGAATATTGTCATGTCTCTTAGTTATTTTAGTTATTAATATAATTAAGGTTAGGAAAAATAAAAAAAAATATTATTCAGTTACATTTTGTGCTGGCTTGGACTAAGGTTTCTGGTCGAAACTGCTTCTATTAGTAGCCGAAATTGCCCAAATACTTTGGGCAAAGATTATTTTTCTATAAGCCCAAACTACTTTTTGTTATTAGCCGAAATTGGGTGAAATTATTTTAAAGTTGTTTAAGTTAAAACAAGTTGATTCATATAGTTTTTTAATGTTCATGCTTATAGAAAATGTTGAGAAGCCCAAATTGCCCAAACTAGTTTGGGCTTTGAGAAAACAGTTTGGACCAGAAACCTTAGCTTGGACAAATGATGTCTTTAAACTCATCCTTTACAAATGGGTGAATATTATTATAAAGGTATTTTTGTCTTTTATAGTCCAAAGGAGGTAGTATTAACACTAAAATAGATAAAACTTTAATCTCTTCAAAATATCTGCTTTCTTGGTTTTCAATAAATTGAATTCAGTAAAAGATTCACTAGCAACTTCTTGAATTTTTACTGTACCAAGATTAGATGCTTCAAAAAGAAAATGTTGATATTTCTGTATGCTTGGTAATTCTTAAAATAAATTCTCAAAACAGCTTTAATATTCAAGTATTGAAAACCTTTTCCATTTTCATAATATTGAGCTTTATTTAATCCTACTGGACTAGACTTTTTTACCACCTCAACTGCATGATCCACACAATCTATGCTTGTTTTTCTGTAGAGTTTCTTAATCAATCCAAAACTACCATCACATTTGAATTAGGAATCATGAAATTCAATTCAACATTTTCATAATAACCACAAATTGCCAAATATAAATATAATCAAATTGTTACATTGTTTTTATTTTTCAATCCACACCACATGCAGCATACACATTAAAGAATCATAAACCCAATGTTGTATGCTTTTTATTTGAAACTTTAACAAATTTTATATAAACATAACAAATGGTTTATTTCCTATGTGCTTCAACAATTTCTTTATTTAAAAGTATATACTAGTTCATAACACAACTACATATTGTATGTATTAAAAAAATCTCATTATTTCAATAGGCAATCTCCTAATAAACTTCAACTCTTTGAGATGTTCAGGGGGTGGTCAATTTTCATAGTCATTTACAATTTCACTAACATATTGCTACAAATATACAGCGTGATAGAATTTATAAATAAAACTTTATTGTAAAAGTTGATTAAAAAAATAAAACTCTATTTACCTCCATTATTACAAAATGGGAAAATGTCAATACAATCAAAGGAAAAGATCCTTTATCCAGTGTTGGCAAATCTGTCCATTATTAGTTTTTTTGTTTAATGTTTCATCAGGCAGGAAGTAGGTTATTTTCATCACCATCATTATCATATTTTTCCAATTCTTTTTCCAATTCATCTAAATCCCTTAACCAAATGTTATTAGCTGGATCTTGTAAAGTTTTATTCAATTTTTTTCCTAATCTTTCTTTTCTTTTTCATATGTCCAATTTGTCCAATATTTGGATCCAAATGTCCAATTAGTATTTGGAATTGGACATGTTGTAACAAAGTCATATTGGCATGTTGGATGCATGTTGTTCTATCCAATGATTATGTTTAAAAGATGCATCATTCAAAATTCTTCCAGAAAGAACCATCTGAAAAGGGACTTTACTTCTTCACTTTCAATCCACCTGAAAGCCAAACCATTTGATACAGTTATATGAAGTAAGTGATCCTCTAATATTGATTCTTCAGATTTTGTAGGAGTATGTAGCATAAATTTCTCAATATTATATTTATTAGTATTATTGCTTTGAAAAGAATCCAAAGACAAATTTGTGATGTTTTTATTTGTCCACTTCATTACTTGAACATTTTCAAGGTGTTGTCTTATCATCAGGAAGATCACAACACATATGATATGTCAGTCATACCTATATAGCAATTAATTGCAACAGCTGAACTGGACAGACTCACCTTTTTTGTATTAGCCTCTTTATCATTCACGTCTCAACAACGTTTTCCTGAAGTTATGTGATTGTCATTGTATGTCGCACCACTCCCAGTTGCAAGTTGATTTATTTGTTTTTACCTGCAGATACCCAATCTTGGCATGTTTGCAATCTTATTTCAAGTTCTTTACCAATGTAGTCCATTTCTTGGCAAACAAAGTACAAGAATTAGAAAAATGAAGCATTACACAATGACAAAAACAACAATATAAAACATAAGAAACGTTGGATTAAAAGAAAGACGAGCAGTCCCAGCTTGCACTAAGTGTCAAACGAGCAGTTCATCACTAGAGACAAGCAGTCCTAGCTTGCACTTAGCATCGAACGAGCAGTTCATAACTGTTCAGATCAATCTCTTAATCCATTCAAATTCTATTCCTACTAAATGAATATACCTTCCATTCATTGAGGATTTCTCAAGCTTTTCCTTCTTTTACAGTATCAAATGAATTAGAATCTTCCACTTCTTGAAGATCTTTTTTAATGCAGTCCAAAATTTGCTTCCTATCCTTATATTTCATTTCCGAACAATAATATTCTATTAAATTCGTGCACGTCCAATTCTTGATTGCCCATGACGCGTTTGTAACACCCCCAAAAAAGAGTATACGTCTGGTAGCCAATCAGATCGCTTATTACCCAATAATATTAAACCCTTCATATGATTGGCCAATTTATGTAAATACCGATTATAAAATTTACAATATGATTAACTTTGGATTGACAGTAATTACTACTATCTCTTCAACTTCTTCAATATTGGACGAAGTTGACTAGGAAAATACAGTTATAAACCTTGCAAATGTTATATTTATTTTAAAATTTGTTATTTATAACAATCAATGCACATCGACTTTGCTTAATATAAAAATTTCTTTAATTATTTTATTAAAATAAAAAGCTATATAATAAATAGAGCTAAATTCGACATTAAATAATAGTAATGTATAATAAAATACAATAGCTTGATCAATATCATGTCAATAATCCGTATTAAATTAGTTTCAAAAAAAAAAAAATTAGATTTAATTATTAATTTATTTTATATATAAAATTCTATCTACAAAATATTTATAATTGTTCAAAAAAAATTTAAAATTTGTCATTACGCGTTAGTTCCCAAGGATGAAATTCTGAATCCTCCTCATTCTCTGTAACATTATTTTGATCCGACCATTCCACTCTGTATATAGGCCAATTATTTGTCCAAGACTTTTCATATATCATTTTAATAACTGTTGCTTGATATGTTACACCATCTGCGTAAGAAATAATAACTGGATCTCCCACATTCAACTTTTGATTTATTCCAGTTGCAACTTTGTTGTAAGGGACTATAAATTCTGGGTGCCCTTGATAATCAAAATAAATCAACGTTACTTTTGATGATGATTTTCTGAAATTGGGAACCTCGCTGGGTATACAGCCATCAGATTTTAAATTTGATTCAAATTCCTTAAAAGTTGAGTCCCTCATGACTTTTGAGCAAGTTACTGCACACATTGTCTTTGTACTTTTTATGAATTCAACATTATTTACATATAATATTTCATTAAAAATATCCGTACGGATTGTTCTTTCTTTGATATCATATGGTGATCTTTTTTGGAACTTCAATGATGTATATGCATTATGGAATTCCTCAAGAAGTCTGTCGTTGTTCATTACTGCTTTATCGTGCATGTTTTTATGACCTTTTGGAAAATAGAATATCCAGTCTCCAACTTTAGGAATATAAGGAAGACAATCGTCAGATTTATAAATCGTGATTGGATCTTCTGGAAACACAAAATAGCCAGTATTAGAAAGAGACGCTATTTGACCAATTTCTTTTTCTTCTTCGCAAATAGGTGATTGACCAAATATGGGTAGTGAATAGACTTCTTGATGTGAGATGTTGTTATTATCATGATTATTTCCATTACTAGCTTTACTACTTTCGGCATAAGTTTCTCCCAATGCATTATATTGACTGCTATTTCGTGTGGATAGCAAATCGCTATCATCGATCATAAATAAGTCGTCTAATTCATCAGAACTTGACTCTTTGTATGAAATAATTTTTGGTTTTCGTCTCTTCATATTTCTTGTTTTAATTCCAATATTGTAACCGTCTTCATCACTATCAAATTCATCAATGTTCCTTTTTTTTTTATTCTTCTTACTAACACCGCCAAAAGAATTTCCACGAATCATGCTTCTTGTCATGGTCCTTGTTCTAAATCCTCTAGCTGGAGGTTCATATTCACTACCAGATTCATAACATTCTGGATTATAAAAACTATCCTCATTGGTGCTTTGTGGAGATTGTGACTTTATATTTTTTGAACGACTCCTTGTTATCGGTATTGGAGCATCATCATCTGTATATTCAATATCCATTGGGTTTCGATAATCAGATACCACTTCATCAACCATCACAGCATTATCAACTCCCGCATTTTCATCTTCTGTCATGTCACTACTATTAATAATTGATTCATCACTAGGAGACTCGTAATAATCAGGGTCATTATTTGGATCGTCAAATTCAAGTGGTAAAGCTTCATCCATAAAATCAACTACATCTTCATACTCATCACCAGAAAGACCAAGTTCCTTTCGGCGATGCATGATCAATTTCCTATGTACAATAGATAGCGGATATGCGCCATCCGTGATTAATTGGGCCTCATCCTTGAGGACTCCAAGTTTATTGATAATATCCTCCTTATTCTCAATTTTTGAATAATCATTATGAATTCTTCTTATTTCTTGATGAGATAGTTGATGTGGATAGGCAACACCATTCCATCCAAATATAGTATCAATTTTATTGTTATCAATAACATGGCTACTTGTGATGTCAAAGAAACTGCCACTTTCAGCATTATATTCAGCTTGTAATGAGTCGGTGACACATTGTTGTCCAGATATAGATCTATCCTTATATTTTTCATATTGAAAAGAGTTATTAATACCAATTAAATGACATTTTCCAAAATTGTCAGTTACAGAGAACATATCACCACACGGATTGAACTTTCCATCTAAAAATTGCAACATGCCTTGATCCAAATATGACATATTGCTACGATCCCAGGACATTAAAGTGTCGCCAGTTAGAATATTGTGCAAGCATATTTTTCCATCATAACCAGCAGACATTATTATTTGCCAATTATGAGGATGAATATCAATCACATAAACATCATTAGTATGAGTTCTAATTTCATATTTTAATTTTCCATTAAACGTATCAAAGATTTTTATAACTCCTCCTGTGCTGCCAATAATAACGAACAAATCATTCAAAGACCAACGCGATGAAGTGATATTGGTTTCTCCAGTACCTTCCCTGCAGTCTAATTCAATTGATTCCCATTTTTTATTGATGACATTATAATTCCAGATCCTGGCAAACCCATCTTGAGATCCGGATAATAAATGGGTACCTGAATGACTATATTCTAAACCAGTTACTGCTTTTTTGTGGTCAATAAGATCTGCAATGTGACGTGCTTTAAATAGTTTGGCTAACCTTATTAATTCTAATTTTCTTTTTGTTGATATCCCGGGAAGATTTTTAGTGGTGGTGGAACTACCATTAACAGCAGAAGTGAGTGATGATTTTACATCATTATTATTTGTTGCAGTTGAAGTGCCATTTGATGAGAATGTGGAATGTTGTTGATTATCTGATGCAGTAGTTGTGGTTGTGGTTGTTGTGGTAGTGGTTGTAGTAGTGGTTGTGGTATTGATGCCAACAACAGAAGATACAGTAGTTGTGGTAGCTGTAGTAACGTTACCATCATTGATTGTCATTTGTACTGAATTGTCTGATCCATCATTATTTTCAATAGTTACGTTGTGTTCATCCTTTATATAAAAATCACTGGTTGGATCATAAGAATCAAGATATTTCATCAGATCCAGTTTTTCAATTTCCTCGTCATCAAGATTTAAATGATTGTAGATTATTTGAACAAGATCATCGTCTTCTTCAAAATCATCATTTTTTACACGTATATCGCTGCCACTATTGTTTACAAACATTGACTGGTCACCAATAGTTGAAAAAATCCTGATTATACCATCAGATCCTGATACTGCGAATTGTGAGCCAGTGTAATTAAATGCAGATGCCTTCATCATAGACTTCTTTACTGCATTAACCGGCTTGTGTTTTTTTGGTTTACCAAAGTAATTTTTGATTACTCCATCGCTTTTAATTAATCTTTCATGCCTTATAGTGTATGTAAACCAATCATTAGTAGTTGCTAAAAAATAATTGTTTTCATTGATCGGACTTGGCGAAAAGGAAATCGAAGTTAGCGGGGAATTCTGCTCATAAGAAAAATTGGAGATGTGTGTATATATATGTATAAGTATGTATGTATAAAATAAATAGATGTGCGTGTGTGTAAAATAGAAAATTATAAAATGATAAAAATTAATTATTTAACTAATTTTATACGATGAACAAATGAATAGTTCTTTATATTCCATATTATTATTGAGTGGTCTTCGGATGCACTGGCTAAGAGTTCTCCAGTTTTGTCCAAAGTCATATCGGTGATTTCCCTCTGATGACCATTAAATGATTTGAGAAGAAGACCGGAATTTGAACACCATATCCTTATTAACCTGTCGTCACTTCCAGTAATGACCCTTGAGCCACTCTTGTCAAACAATACACAATATATAGGAGTTACATGACCAAAAAGAGTGGTTAACTACAGTTTATCGAGAACAAGAAGGATGTATGAATTGATGTATGTATGAATCGATGTGTGTGTGTGTATGTGTGTATACAAAAAGGGTTAGTTATAAAAGTTTTAATTAAAAAAATATATACATATATATATATTTTAATAATTACTTGTACGTATTCCCTAAATGTCTGTTGCAATGGAGATAAATCGCTATGTCTATATAAACCAATTTCTCTCATTGCGAGTTTTACACAAACTATATGTGTAAAGACAAGTTAGCAACTTTGAAATATATGAATGTAGCAAAAGGATCGAGGTAAAATTTTACCAGGGTATCTTAAATCAGAAGTATCCATTTCAACAAAAAAGTGAGATAATGTTTTTTTTTTTTAATAGTTGGAAAAAATCAAATGTAGTTATGATTTTATTTGGAAAAAAAAAAGGTGATCAAATGATCGACATTATAACCAATACAAATCAATCTTCAGAAATGCATATATATAAATATCAAAATTTCAGGGATCAAAATTTAGTCATTTGTAATGTGATCATAATTAACGGTTTTATAATATCTTATCTCATTTGTTAAGTGATATATAGAACTATCCCTATATAAAAATAGTTAATATGAAACTCATTTACATCAGATCTTACTATGGAACCCAAAAATTACAGCACCATTAGAAGTATTTTTAAAAAAGAACAAGGTGAAAAAATTGCTCCTTATTTTCAAAATAAATAATACTCAGACACTAGAAGCTTATCTAAGAAAAGAAGGAATTAATTATGAAATTTACCAAG